GGTTTATTTAATAGCAAGTTTTGAGGTAATTTTCCTGGCATATTTTGTGGAAAGCTTGTTTTTGAAGCACAGCTCAACTCAAAAACCCTGTATTTCCACAAGTGATACAGAAATTTGGTAGCATATTGGAGTCTGATGTCCCTGGAAATAAATCAGATCTGGGGCCAGAGGAACTTCCAGGAATCACCCAGGGTCAGGTAGTTCAGTTGTGGCATATCTTTCATAAAAGCAATGAGGAATTTCAGTAACTTAATAAGCTTGCAAGTCATCAGATTTTCCACATGCAGTCATGTAGTGCAAGTGCAATAGAGTGTATTAATAGTACTCCAATGTAACATTTTCCAAGTGCTTTGTAGTAATACTGGTTGGGTCATGTATTTCTAACAAGCATTAATGTTCCTCGGGGAAGACTCAGAGTATAAGTGCCTTATAGTACTATAAAATGTGGAATAATCAAATCTGTGAAGGACAGGCCACAGTGAAGCTGACAGGAATACATGATGCTTGTGTATTGTGGAACAGGCATTCCCTCTACTTCAATGAGGAGCTGGAGGAAATTATTTTGAAGAATATGCATTGTATACATGAAACAGAATGTAATTTTACATAATGCTCAAATTTCCTGCTTAACCAACATGTGCCCGTGGGGGGCTTCCAGAGCAGCAAAGACCTGGAATTTCTGCTGTCACCCCAAAATCTTTGCCCACTGTTCTTTGCTCCCCTTGTGTTTATTTTCAATGGCACCTGGCTCCACACTGAGTTGTTGGACTCAGGGCCATGTTCTTTGCCCCAGAGTTTGGAGAAGGTGATGATGAGATGCCACATGGGTACCATTCCCATGAGTTAGTCTTTTGGTGAGGACATCCTGGAGTGTGAGCCTGACTCATGGCTGAGGCTGAAGAAGAATTGTGTCTTGACAACATTTGATTAGTCTGCATGCTGTTGTTTTGAGAAAAAACCAAACCCATAGTTGAAAGATGCACCCAGTTAAGAGAAGTTCCAGTTGAACATAATGTATTTCCATTGAAGGACCATAGGGGTAAGGTTGATTCTTCCTTTTGTAAGGACTGTTACTGTTCATGTGTCTTTAATTGATGGCAGCATTACCTGCCTGTCAGTATAGCTAACAGCCAACGCCGCTGCAAATGATGGAAGGTATAGCTTAATAGCCTAACAATGTCTTCAAATTTCAGCCCCAGGCTCAGTCTGGTGTCTGACCCTGCCCAAATTTGTACCCAAAGTTTGACCCTGTCCCCTGCTGCAGGGATGCCCAATAGATCCTTTCACATAGACATCTTTCCTGCTTTGTCTGCAGTTAAGGATGCTTCTGGGCAAGGCTGCATGTGGAAGTATGGATCTGCAGGTTCACATCTCTTGTGACTGTATGTTATGGCAGCCTGTTGTCACCTGCCCTGTAATGGTTCCTGAGCTCTGCAACAGCAGAGCATCCTGTCCCAACTTAGAGGAAAACATTTCTCACAGCCCTGGAGCTACAAAATCTTTTAAGTCAGGGACTGAAGTATTTTGTTCTGTTAAAACTTCATACACACACATATGATGATTTACAAGAACAACTTATGTTTTACAGATTGTATGAACTTCCAAGTATATTTTAATATGGAAAAATTTCAGTTAATATCATAATCCATGTAATGGATTAACATCTGGTTCTGATTTCCCAGACCTCGGCTTCCAAACTCTTCAGAAATTAATGGGAAAGTCAGTAGACAACTTCAGCACAGAGTGTAGTATTAATTCTTCATGTCTGTTTCATTTTACTTTATTTAGACTTGAAAGATATTCTGTCTTACTGGCATGAGTTCAGAGATCTCCCCTCATCACCCATGAATGGGAACCACATCACTACATCCTCATATATTATAACTCAAAGGAGAATTTTGAGGGAGAACAGCCAGAGAAATTCAGCCCAATCCATGTCATGAGTTGTACAAAACAGTTCTTGTACTTTTCACTAGTATGACCCTTTGTTGTTATTTATGACCTAGTTGTTATTTGAGATACTTTAATCAGTGGATTAGAATTTATTGATTAATACAGATCTTCATTTCCAGACAGAAAGAGCCTTGTTAACCCCTGTCCTGTAAGCCAGTGAAGAACTGGGCCAATCTAGTTTGTTGTTTCAGTCCTAATATGTCACAATATGGGAGTTTTGCAGTTGATTTTAATGGTAATTATGAAACAAAAGAGAAAGGTTTATATAAGCGTTATCTGTTTGTGGCTTCTTCTGTCTTAAAATCTGTTTGTGTTGTGGCATGTGAGATACTGCCATTTTATTTGCAACTGCATTGGTGCACACTAGGTAATAAAGTGTCAGGGCACTGTGAGGACTGGGGGCTCCTGTGGGCCTGGGAATATCCCCAGGAGATGAAAGAGCATTTGTAATCATTCCTGCCAGGTGACTGCTAATTCAGAGTAACCATTTTTACCTTTCTTTTATGCATTACAAAAAATTTGAAATTAACCATCCTTTTTTTCCTTTTGCATGGAACAATTTTTTGCCATTATCAGGAGTATGTAACTGTCACATACAAGGTATTTTGTGTCCTTATAAACTCAGCTTGTGCTTTCTTGGCACCCCAATATTCCATTGCTGCAGCTAGTGATTTAAGCTCTTCATTTAATATAATATTGCCAAATAATATGAAGTCTAGTTTGACCCTTACATCTAAAAGTGATGGTATGACCAATTTTTTTATGTCCAGAAGTAGGACTGAATGTAGAGGAGAGTAAATGCTCAGAGTGCTAAATGTTCTCAGATTTATATCTCGAGATCAAAGACCTAATCTCATGAAATTAATTATTTTTATATGAGTGGTAGCTACGGAGTAGCCAGAGTTCAAGAACATAATCATGTTCAAAAAAGTTTTATAACCTAAGACTCGGTGTGTACCTCAGGTATGCAGGTGATAACAAGGATACAGGCAGGTCATGGCTGTGACTGCAGGGCAGAGGATATTTAAATAAGAGATGTGTCCCTGGCCATTAGGACCAGAAGGGTACAGACAGCCTGGAAGGGTACAGACAGCCTTGAAAGCTTTGCAAGAGAAGCAGCTGGTGAGAGAACAAAGATTTTGTTGAGAATGATGGAGAGAGGGATTGTCATAAAAAGAAGCAGGGTAGCAAGGAAGACAAACCTTTATTTCAAGAGGAGGTAGTAAACCTATTTCAGGAGGCAGTACCTTGGTTGCTGCCTCCTGAGAAGCTGCTGCTTGGTTTTGCTGCCCACCATGCTGTGGCAATTCTCCTGTCACCATAGTGGGGGTGGGGGTGTTTTATCCCCCGCAGCAATGGGAGCCCCATTGCTTCAGTTCTGCAGCTGAACCTGCAACATTTCTGTCTGTTTAGAAGTGATAGCTGGAGGCAAGGGTGCTGAGGTAGTCCATAGGGAAAGCAGAGCAGTCCTGAGCATGAGTCAGACCCTGTGAGGTGTTAGGTTCATTTGGTGACTCTTTAGGCTCACAGATCTGTGTTTCTCAGCTGAGCACTGCACTGGGGCTGCAGCCATGACCCAAGCTGGAGGCATGTGCCCCTGGGCTGTGAGAGAGCCCTGACTGTCCCAAGCTGTGCAGGAAGGTGCCTGCATTGGCTCCTGCACATGGGCTGGGACTGGAGTGCCTTCATCCCCCCAGCAAATCAAAACTTATCACACATTGATTCAAAGAATCCTAAATAAATGAGCCTTTCAGCTGCTGTCAATAGGATTTCTAGTTTCTTTCCATTCCTCAGCATCCTTGGGTCCCCAGAGAATATAATCAAGCACAGGAGACTGCAACAATCAGGGCTTGGAGATTATGTACTATCCAGGCACAGCCTTGAGGAGTCATGTTTGCTGACATTAGGTTGGCTACAGCTTTACGGTCATTTTACACATGACAGCACATCAACTGTGTAAACCTTGCTGGAACAGGAGATTGCCTATGACTAACTGCTGTGAAATGGAAATGATTTGTCTGTGTCTACATGGACTGAAAATCATGGCTACTGTTTGCTAGTCATTTCTCAAACTTCTTTTCTAATTTGGTGTAATTTTGTAGTAATTTTTGGAAACAAGGCGTTAAAGGAGCTCACAGTGCAGGTGTGTGTCAGATCCCCACTTCATCAGTGCCTCCCATTATACTGAATGGGCTTCACCTTGAGAGCACAGATCATATTGTATTTTCACAACTTCAGTAGAATTTTATTCCAAGGGTAATCTGTGTTCCTGCAGAGGGAAGTATTACCCAAGGTTGCTTAGGGTAACAGAAATGAGCTGTAGCTGATGTGATTTCTGGACAACCCGTGGATTCAGGTACCATTTAGGATAACTGGTATAGAGTTTGAGCCCTTGGGTTCCTGTGCTTTCAGGGTAACTGTATAGAAAGTAGATGTGCTAGCCTGGCCCTTGCACCATAGCAATTTTGTAAATAATGATTATACCTGTTCTCATTTTTCAGATTTAACAAAGCTATATAAAGTTTGTGGTGTAGTTAAGTTTTAGTATAATAATTTAAGTATGGCTTTTAAGCATGGTTTTGTACAAGTTAACTACATTTTGCTTTAAACTAGCATAGAAAAATTGAAAATACTTTGACCTATTCTTTTTGACCAAAATCAAATGTTCCTGTATGGTCCATAACCTGACCACTCTATGTGTCACAAGAAAAACAGAAAAGTTCCATTTTAGTTTTTTGTGATATTCTATTTCATGTGACTTGAAGTACAGTAAAGGTTAGGAAAAACAGACCTTATGCAACATAACATCCAAGTACAGAACATTTTATAAGACAAAAGGAACAAAGACTCCCACTGAAAACCTGCTGGTGTCAAATAATCATTTATTTTGCTGTTGTTGACTTGTCCCTGCCTAAATGACAGGGGCTTAGCTATGGGAAACAATATTGCAACAAATGCTTGTGAAACCCTGTGTAATTCCTGTCACATCAAAAGCCTGTGTGGAATTGTGTGCTTTTGGCTTCAGTGCTCTTTTTTTCTCACACATACAGAAACAATACATGAGGAAGTATTTATGCTTATATCAAGAAAGAAGGCTACTTTGCTTTGCATACACAGCACATCAATGAATCTTAAACTGCAGGTCTGAAGTTTGGGTGAATTTCAGGGCTGATGTCAAATATTGTGCTCAAGAGCTTTTTCATCATGCCCTCCATGTTCCTGTGGTAGCTGCTTGTGAGGTTTCGGATGGCTTCTGTTGTTTGCTCTTCTATTTTGGCAGAGAGGTTACCTTGGGAGCCCATTACCTGAAAAGCAGAAGACCTCTGAGCAAAATGAGAGAGTACATATAACCATGTTTATTGTACTTTTCTTCATCATGTAGCACAAGCATAACATAAACACATCATACAGCTTCTGAACAGTGAGGGTTTGATCTGGGTTCAAATGTAAGCATAAAAACAGGATTAAAGGCAACTCTCATATGCTCATTAGCAATGGGAATCTCCCTATGTAATGAAAGTTTACCAGCTCGCTGTGGGAAAAACATTGTGTATGTTTTGTCTTTTATATGGCTCATTTTAATTTGTTTTCTATTTTAATGACTAGGCAGCTAAGTTCTATCACTGTGTGCCTTCGTTTGGCCTCACTGAGAATGCCTGTGAGTGCAGCTAAGGCCCAAACATGGAAAAGCCTTCCTGAAAATGCATAATTACAGTTTCAGAGTACTTGAAATGTCTTCAGCAGTTAGTGATGTATAACCCTCAACAGGCCTCAGACAAGGTCTTTTAATGTTACATTTTCTTATCTGGCGAAATACCAGACAGCTTCTGGCACAGTTAATATCAGGACATTCGCTTAGAATTTAATTGACTCTAGACTCACTGAACATTTTAGCAAGGTTATGTTATAAACAGATGCACACGTTCCAAATCTGTGACTTTGCTCCCTCCTCCCCCACTGCCCCAACATCTCTTGAATTCTTCCCTTATGGAAAAGTCCTTCTGATACCAGCAGAGAAATTGGTTTCCAGCTAAAGAATTCCATGTGGAGAGAAGAAGACATTTCTGCATGCTCGCAGAGTAAGAAAGGAATAAGTAACGTATTGTTCTTCTTCCTGCCATGGCTCTCTGGGGTGGACTAGCAGGTGGAGCTAACCTGTGGTGTCTTAGTGGGGTACCTAGAGCATGACCAGAAACAAGGAAGGGGTTGTTAACCCTATTTTTTGTGTGGTTTCAGCCCAACTTAGTCCTTAAAAGAAGGAAAAACATATTTTGCATAGACTACCTTCCCTGTTCCATTTATCAATACCTGGCAACGTAGTAAGACATTTGTCCATAATCCACATGTAAACCATTTTTCAGTTTGGAAGAAATGTAGGTTGTAGACGTAATAATAAGTATTGGGAAAAGATTACAGCTTTCTATAATAACTATTTTTAGCTGACATTTTATTTTAACTTTTAGACAAGTTGCAAGTGTTGCGTGTGGGAAAGGTTGTACAGCTTAGACCAGATTTATGGAACTGAATTTTTCCACTGGGGAAAGTAACTTTCTAGAGATCCCAGATGGTTGCATGTTATCCAGCCACTAAATACTTTTGAAAAGCCTCAAGAAAAGTATTATAATTTTAAGAAGAGCCTCTGCAGACCTGCTTTCTCAGCTCATGCTAATGTCATTTGAGATAGTAAAGTCTTACTCTTCTGTGTTTTTCCCTCTCTTCTTCAGCTTCTGAATTTGAGGACCTTTTTCTTGCAGAATGCAGGCAATGCTCTGCTTAGTTTATGATTTCTGCTGACCTTGAAGGTTTTTCTCTTATTTTTCCCATACAGGTTTTATGCTAGTGTCATTTCAAAGCTGCTAAAATATTACATTGGCTCAGAAGCCACAAAATTCAGAACTAGGCTGCACATCTCCAGAGTTAGGTGACCTCAGACAATGAGTGAAAAAGCAAAATTGGTTTGAGATCCAGGCAAAAAATTTGGCGTGTTTTGAAAAAAGATTTTGCATATTGTCATTCTAACCTCAATCTTTTTTCCTCTGTTGCTCTTCTTAATTCTGGATGGATATGAAGCCTCTCATAGTATGAGAAAATTTGCTCCTGTTTGAATATAAGCAATACAAAGTAGGAGGAAGAATGGCATTAGAGGAGACTGTGACAGAGAATTAAAAATACTTGTGTCCAAATACTTGAGAAAGTAAACTGAACTGGGCATCAGAGCTCCCTCTGCACTGGCTTTGCTGGAGCTCCTGACTGCCTCCAGACACAGGTTAACAATGATGGCTTTTGTCTGGGTAGGTGAATGTTCGACATAACGGGGTCAGGGAACGTGGAGGGGACTGCAGCAATCTTGTAGAGCATGCTGTCATTTGAGGAGCAATATGTGCTCCGTCCTGCTCCTGTGAAACCTCCCACTGACAAATAGTGGCCTTTCCCTGCAGCTTTCATTTGGTTGTGGTGAAAAAATGGAGTTCACAAAAAAGCAACATCTTTACTCTTCTGCTATCAAGACCTAGAATAAGAAGTCTGGCTTGACTGAAAAGGTGGACAAATTTTAGAGGTCTTTATACTTTATTTTGGTGTCAGTAAACAACTGAAACTGTACATTTGAGACATTTCTACCTGGCCTGCCTGTGTGACAGTGCGTCTGGGGGTTGGCACGGTGTGATACCAATATTTTTGTGTGTATAGATATTCCTAAGGGTTGTGAGCCCTGCTGGAAAATGTTTTATGTGAAGTGTGACTGAAATGACAGGTTGGTAAAACAGATTTTGTTTGACCTCTTTGGCTTTTTCTTTTCTTTTTGTGTCTGCTTTTGCACAAGTACTTCCTTGTCTTTTCAGGATACAACCTGAGGGAAAAAAACAAGACCAAGAATGTAGGAGGAAGGTCACCTGGTAAAAAGAGAATGGTTTGTGAATTTCATGGAAATACTAGAGAAAAATGCAAGCTGCCATAAATGTATAAAACAGCTTTATTTAAATATGAAAATATTGAGCCAGACCACTTTTACTACAGAAACAGTGAAAAACTCCAAACTATTAGTGACTTCAATTGACAAAGGATGCAGTCTTATATGTAATGGAAAGAGGCAGCTGAAGTGGAGCAGAAATGGAAAGAAACATTTAAAACTTTTGCTTTTACTGACACATCCACCTTACTGAATCCTCCAGTTTCAGGACAGGAAGTAGGTCTGCCTGTGGTTATAGAAAAAGGACCCAAAAGTATTTTTCCTTAAAGGACATACATCTTCAAAGCCTAAGTGTGAACCAAATATGGAATCTGGACCATTTTAGTGGGGAATGTTCACAATTTTTTCTACAAATGCATTCAAAGTCTGTGAAAAAGTCCAAATGAAGCATATAGATGCTGTAGATGACACCCCTCTGTTTAATCAGTATGACCAAACTGGTGTGCAGGAGTCTCCAGGTAATACTCTTGGAAACAATTTGATTTACCATTGAGCAGTTTGGTAAGACAAAAGAACACATGCAGGTTTCTTACTTACATTTGTTTCCTTGTTTCTAAATTCCTTCTCCCTCTGTAGTCTGTAGTGGTCTATCTCGGCTGTGGCTTCTTCCTTAGCCTGCTTCAGCCTTTTACCCTTTCCTGGAGGGGGAAGAAAGACGCATTTATTTCATACATCCCTGTATCCCCACAGATGAACCTCTCCAAATCAGAGATCTTTTAGCTGGCATAGTAGAACACTGACTTTGCTGAAAGCCTGGTCCATCGGATTTACACAAAAATGGTCAGAAGAGATGAAGTCATTGACTTAGAACACTTTTTGACTGCTAGCCAGTCATGCAAGTACCCCTCTTTTGGGACCAACTTCCTGTGCAGAAGCACACATCAAGTGAAGAGCTTCTTGGTTTGCTGACAACAGAAGTCTTTCTGCAAGTAGACATCTTCCCGCAACACAAATGCATTTTTTTTTTCTAATCACAGCTTGGTGTTTAAATAAATATCTATCTTTTCTTCATCAGCAATAGTAGCAGCCAGATAACAGATTTTAGTTGTCATGGATGGGAAAAGACGTTATTCTGTAAGATTTCCTGCATTGATTGGTTGCCAGAATCCCTTCATCCCACACCAACTGGATTCTGCTTAGAGCTGGCAGATATCCAAAATAATGCAAGATGTCTTAACCACTACCAAACTGAGTTGCAACTTTCAGGCTTTGTCCTTTCTTCCCCCACCCTCTTCTACTAACCTTTCTTAAATGCAGAGGTGAGTGACTAAGATAAGGAGGTCAATTCTTTGTCAATGCACAGAAACCATGAAAGGGATTATTTTTTTTTTCTTTTCATTTTAAACAAGATGATCTGTAAGGTGACATTTTAGCGTGTAGTGGAAACTAGAGCCTTCCTCCTCACCAGGCTTGATTACATACCTAATTTTGTTTGCTGTGAATAGTTTATTTAAGGTAAAACGCTATGGGCTTGTCAAATTAAGAGCATGTAAGTCACTGCAGGACTGGACATAAGGACCTTTCTGGATCTAGTAGGGTTGTCATGTAAAGAATAAGAGTAAATGGTTTGATGAAAATTTGGTGTTTAAGGTTGTACATGAAGAACCCCTCTGGGCTTCTCTGGCATTTATCAAGTCAGTAAAGTTGCATGGATCTCCTCAGGATTCTGCGACACTACCTTGTGAGGAAACAGTCCATTTAGAAAAGCAATTTTCTAAATATAAACCTCTTGCATGGATTGTTGGTATGCTATACTTGAGACACCTGGGCTGGTGCTGATTTTTGGAGTCTCTTTCTGCTATACAGCTAGATTTTTAGGAGCAGGGGGAATAAGGTTGCTCTCTTTTCTTAACAGGGGGAATATCAGTGGCTGAAAAATTGCTTAGTTGCTTAAATTAGGATATCACAAGAATGTGAGAGTGGCGGCCTAGGCAGCTGAAAGAGCCATGTTGATCTCTTGTGGCACACTGATTTATTTACTTACGGTAACAACCTATTTAACACCACTATTTCCTTTCCTGAAATCCTAGGAAATGTTCTCTGCCTAGGCTAGGAAGATGAACATAAATATTTCTCGTTTTCTTTCTCCAAGCTGTTTCACTGGTTTGGTTACATCTGAGCTGGGCTTCTCCAGCCTTATCAGGTGTGTCATATAGAAACTTGCTCCCACTGAGCATGGCATAATGAGGAAGCTGAAGCTTGGGAGGAAGATTGTTTTTAATACACCTGAGATTCAGCAAAAGCCTGGGTAAAAAAATTGATTCAGCAGGAAATGACTTCTCCAGCTGAATGCTCTTTCCAAAATAATTATCTGCAGATGGGTGAGTAGAAGCAGAGAGATGCACAAAATAGGAATTACGTTTAAGTTTTGATTTCTGGACTACTGGCTTATTGTGGAACCTTGGGAGTGGCATGTACACAGGCTTTTAACTAGAAGGAGCAACCTACTGAGGAACTAGATAGCTTTATTGACTCCCAGTCCATCAGTGCAGGGCTCTCGTGTGTGGGAAATTATATTTATCAGAGTCCTTCTCCCACTGAGCCACTGTGCTTATGTATAAACGGGAGAGAGGCTGTTTTAAACCTAGTGGGTACTTTTCCAGAGTTTGTATTTTTTTTAACAAGGCTGATTTCCCCCAGCTTCTGCCACTCACTGTATGAAGTGTTGGGACTAGGATGAGTGAACTGACAGATCTGTGTGAGAGCCTGACATAAGTCTGGACAACAAAATTTGGAACCAGGTTCAGGTCTGTATTTTGAAGTTTCCCTTATTCTCCTCTCCAAATTTGGAGCTGATCAGCCTTTTGTAGAGTTTCCACTCTGTAGGAGTGGAGCTGGGGGGTGATTCTCTGGAGCTGGCAGTCAGGGGGAGTGACTACGATGAAGCTTTGCCAATTTCACCAGCTGAGGAACTGGATCTCTATGGCAAATTAAATTATTTCAAAATCAGTGGGATTTTAATTTCAAATTCCATCTGGGGGGCCATCTGTAGTAAATATGTTGCATATTTGGCCAGCAGATAGATAAATATATCCATTTAAAATGCAGAAAATGGAAAGAGATTAACTACAAAACAACAGTTCAGTTGCCTCTGACAATGTAGATAGTGAACCAAAGAGTATATATATACACATGTGTCAGCTCTTGACAGTGCTCTGGAGTAAGCACAATACATAGGGTGTCACTGTAGAGTGGCAGCCATTTCATTTTTCCATGATGCCTCCAGGATTGGCACAGCAGGAACCTGCTGCTTCCTATTTAATTAAGTGGAAAAGCTGTGAGTAAATTACTGCTAGTCCAACAACGTTGTGGACAGAATCGGCAACTGCCAACATATGCGACGGTGCATATGCTGCACCTGATTAAGTTAAGCAGAAACTAGAGCTTAACCTGCTGTTCCACTAGGGACAAACCAAAATTAATTAATCAGTCTGTTGTTAACCACTTGTCTGCTACCGTAGTTGTACAATACAGGACTGCCTTTTCAAAGCCTTACTGATCTGCTGGGCTGGTTCTCTGCAGAGCACAGCCAAGCTAAAATCAACCCTTACACACTGAAGCGTGGTGGAGCGCTGAAATTCAGCCAAAATCATGCAAAAAGAGGGCAAGAAGTGCAGGAGGATGGGAAAACCAGCCCGGTCCTATGACATTTCCTCAGGATCAGAGGTGAGGTACAAAAAGCCCCAAATTTGAAGAGATTTTTGCCACAAAGGTCATGCTGTGGGGGCAAGGATTACTGCTGGCCCTCTGTCCCTCCTTCCATCCTTGAAGATGGAGAGCAGCAAAGCAGCTGTGCTATGCCTGGTTTCCTTGTCCACAGCCTATAAATTTTTAGGCATTGAGTTAAATTGGCCAAATTTTAAAAAACTTGCTGTGACCAGTCAGCACTGTGGAGGATTTTCTTGCCTAACATAGGAAGGTGTTATTAGCATGGAGAAAGGCTGTATTCTTCTTTATTTAGGTATTTTTGTGATGTTCATGAAACACTTTGCTCTGGTTAGATTCACAAGAACTGGTGTCTTTTAAGTTGTTGGAGTTTTTTAGATCTTGGAAGAAAGACAGTAGAAGGCAAAAATTTTGCATTCTAATTTGTTCAAACACTAAGTTATCTTACTTTCCAAAAACTGCAATGCTAAAATTGGAGTTTTGTTTTCAAACATATCATCTAGGCTTCTAGCTGAACTTCTGCATAGAAATCAAGTCATTTGAAGAAGTTGCCAAAAATTAATCATATTTTCTTAAAATAGAACCATTTCAGTTGTCTTTGCTAAATTGTCTGGAAAATGGGATTTGGGGATGTGCAATGTGAGAAAACTATTTTGTACTTTTAATAAAATAGAATAGAGGCAAGCTGAGCATTATGTATAGCTTTCTCAGTAGATAAAATATGTCTTGGATATTGTCCAAGAAGAGCGCCATGGATATAATTCTGTTTACAATATCTTATTTTAATTAACATTTGGTTTTAATCTGATTTTCTATGATCTTTCATCAGAGTTTTCTTTTTATTAGGCATGAGAAATTCAAGGGAAGATATAAAAATCTAGAGGAGAATGAGTTTTGCTAAGCCCAGTGTTCACGACACATTTGTTTCCCTTGTTTTACCCAAAAGGATTTTCAGGAATTGATGGCTTGGTGCTGACAATGCTCAGTTATTTCTGGGATCCAAATTGTGCTTAAAGTAAAAATGATAGATAAAGCAGCACCATGTTCAAATGGTCAGAGGATTGCAGACTGGTTTGGCTTGTGTTTAATCAATCTAATTTCAGCCTTGCATGTGTTCATTTAATTAATTATTTAAAACATTAATAATTTTTCAGGTATAAATTATATCAGCTAGTGGTATCATGCCAGGCAAAATGGTATTGAGCAAGAAGTAAGAAAAAGCATGTACAGAGGAACTTTAGCATTATATTTTTGCTTTGTTTTGTGTGTATCAATATAATTTTATTTGCTAATTTTTTCAGTTACTTCAAATGGCTTTTGCATTACTAACAAGTGCACATATGTCAGCAAAACCTAGGCCCATTAACTGTTTATATACAATATTATGTGTGTTCACACGACATTTTGATTGGTTATGTGAGTATCAACTGTAAACACTGAAGGATTTGCATTAGGGTAGTTTTGCTAGTCCCATTTCCTTGCAAATGCCTTTCCTGGTGTGTCCCAGGAACAAGCTGCCAGCTGATGTCCCAGTGTCAGCACAGCAGCCAGACCCATGGGTGCAGTGGTGTGTGCAATGCCTGCTTGGGGTGACAAAGGAGGTCACAGTGAGGCTTCAGTGCGTTCCCTGGCAGCCCAGAGCTGCAGAGTGCAGGCCCTGAGCAGCAGCTGCTGATCCCAGCTGGTGCCAGGTGGATCTGAGCTGGTGCCAGGTGGATCTGAGCTGCCCGTTCTGGGGTGAAGCAGCACCTCCCTCCTCGTTCCACCCAGCTGTGTGTGCACAGGGCAGCCAACTGCACTGCACAGATCTGTTGCATTTCATGTATTGTCTTTCAGCTTAGCTTTATGCTTAGAGACAAATTTTGCAATCCTTTGTTTTGATCTAACTGCAGAATCCATGTGGGGAAGAGACTGCTGAAGTAACCCCAACTTAGAATAGCCAGATTTGCCTCTAAAAGAATTTCTTTTGCCCTTGTCCCACAGTATGTAACTTATGCTGGCATAGTTATCTAAGGTGGTGTAGTGACAGTGCTATGGAGATACTTAAATTAAGGACAACATGGCATTTAAATTTTGCTTTGTAGCTTCATTGCAAACTTCTTGCAATGTTGAACAGAATGGTTGTCTAAGTAGAATTATGCTGGTAGATTACCTATAATGCTTGGTTTACAACAAAATCCAGAGTGGATTTGTTTAAACTGTTTGCCCTTGATTGACGAATTTTGGAAATTCTTGAGGTTTTTCATGGAATCACAGTGAACTGCTGAGGCTGGAAGGAGTCTATAGGATACACTCCCTGATGGAAGCAAGGGCAGCTTGACTGGGGCCATATCCAGTGGGTTTTGAATGCCTCTGAGAATGGAGATTCCCCAGCCTCTGGGCAGCCTGTTCCTCCCTTGCAGTCACTGGGGTTTTTTCTTTCATTTACATTTGTGTATTGAAATTTTAATTGTCCTTAATAATTTTTATAAATGCAAAAAAAAAAAAGTGATCTTAAAAGTAACAGAAAAGAAAGCCATAGTGATGATATATTTTTATTCTGAATTATTTTGCTGATAGAAAAATTCTTAATAGCTGTTTTTCTGTAGCTGGTTAATAACTCCTACTAGTGTGTTAGTGTTGAGGAAAACACTGGTAGTGGTTTAATTCAAGTTTCTGACTCAGAGGGGTCTGAAGATACTTTATCTGTTCTTATCACAAGCACTCCAAGTGAGGCTGAGGTGGTGACAAGGGAGTGTGTTTTTTGCAGACTAGAGCAAATGCATCCATAACTGTGTCTGGACTCTGCAAGACATTCATCTTTGATTATCACTTTTACATTATAATTATTCTTTTCATTTTTGGAGTTCCTTAATTTATGAAGCTTCCTTTTTAATTGACCATTATAGAAAAAATTTAAAGTGATTCTTCTGATTTAAAAAAAACCCTACAAACGAAATTAAAGCAACAAAAAAAACCACCAAAAACCCAAACCCAAATATAATCCACTTCAAGCTCAGGCCTGATTCTGCAGTCTGTGTTCAGGCCAAACTCCTTCTCCTTCCACCAAGGCTGTGCCTTTCCAGGTCGTGTGCTCTCTTGCTTTGAGGGAGCAGTGTATTTCCTCTGCCCTACATGAGAAGGGAAAAAACATCCCTCCCAGAGCTCCTGGTCTGGCTGTGTAAGAGGTCAAAACACTACTTAAGTATCCCTTGCCTTCAGGTTTCTGCCTGAGAGAGTTCTTTTTTATGAAGATGGGAGGATTTGTTTTAATCTCTCCTGTGTCTGCAAGGCACAGGCAGTGCCTGGGTGCTTAGGGAGGGGACTTGCCTTTCTACTTATTTGTGTGTGCTGCTGTACAAATTGACACCTCACACTAAAAATTAATATTAATGAGCACACAACAATGCTGATTCACATGTAAAAGGGATATGGAAACTACACAAATTATTCTGTTTAGCTTCCATTCCTCCCTGGAAAAGAAAATATATTCCTTTAATTGTGCTCTTGCTCCACATGACATCATTGTCATCCATTTTCTTTGCATTCTGCTGCTGGTTTCTGAAGCAAGATCACTCCAGAAAACAGTATTAATGTTTCGGTGCTAGTGCAGGTCAATGACTCATGTGGTTGTACCTGCACTCAGGAGAATAATTACTTGTACCATGTAATAAAACTTCTGTGAATGATCTATTACAGTACTGAGAGTGCTCATGGTTTTACTGTGACTTTGATTACTGTCAGGGTGCTGAAGTTTCCCCTTAGTTTTCATATAATTTTTTGAAGCCCAGCTTCAATGAGGAGACAAGTTACTGGATTTTGCAAGTAAAGAGGAACACTAAAAAAATCTTAGCAAATCCTGTTGAGAAAAGTAAAAAGTTTGGAGTCTAGTCCTCCAGAGCAGGGAGCCAAAGGTATGTAAGATTTTAATTTAAATAGCAAGGCAGTAATGGCATTATCAGCATTGAGATAAAGGAAAAACAAATGCAGCTGACAGGATGAATATAACAAAGAAAACATTTTTAATGTAATAAGGCACACGTACACGTAGGCACAAGCACAGAGGGTTTTAAACAAACTCTGAATGTTCAGGCTTGAGTTAATGCCTGGCTGCAGTCAAGGCACAGCACTAGTGCATGTATACAGATGAAAGAATCTTTTTCTCTGAGCTACTGTAATTCTGAAGGGCTTGCACTTGAGAAGTGCAGTAAAACCAGGCCAACTACTTACTTTTCTTGGCTTCCTCCAGTTTGTCCTTGGCACGTTTTTCTGCCTGCAAAAGCTGCTGGATTCCCTGAGACTGGCTGGTCATGCTGCTTGCTGGGGCTGGTGAACTTCTGTGAAGACTGGAGCTCAGAGGGAGTTTTATACAGCTGCCAGACTCTTCCTTGTGTTTTTTGTTCTGTGTGTTATTGCAACAAGCTTCCAGATTGTACCAACCCAGCTGGCTGTGCCTGGATTGCTGCTGGGCGCACAGGCCTGGGAGTGCAGTCAGGAAAACACAGCAGCAAGGCTGAAGGGAATGTCCTCCTCTCCTCAGGGTCACAGAGAACTTGAAGTCTCTGATTAACATATTGGGGCAAAAAAGAGCACTTCAAATGGCTTTTTATGGTATTTTAATGGGGAATTTTTTTTCTTTTCTGTAGGTTCTTATTTCTGAAGCAGAATACAGTTTATCTTGTCTAGGAACTGAGGGGGAAAAATATTTTCTTGGCATTTCCTTTAAATAAAACTTCCCCTCAAAGTGAAGAATCAAGCTCAGTCAACAATTAATTTTGGTTGAACACCAAGAACTGCTTGTAGGCTTCTATTTAATGTTACTTCTTAACACGACTTATTAGGGTTTTCACTTTAAAAAAATATTCAATAGAAATGAATTCATTGGGGACTAAAGTTTAAAAAAGCATTTAGTGATTGAGGTATGCTCTGCCTTGTAATCTGCCATGATGGAGGTGAGTGGAGATGAGATGGAGTGAGAAACTCTGGGCTTAGCTCTAAGATCCAGACTCTTGCAAGGTATGAATGGTGGGCTAGGTTTTACTTTCAAGTCATAATGCACAAAACAGTCAAATGAATGCCTGTGCGTGGCTGTAAATGCACATCCCATTCCTACAGAAGGAAAGAGGGCTTTGTGAGCTACTGCATGAATAAGCAGCATGTTCATCTGAATCCTCATAAAAAAACCCCAAAAATCCCACCTGTTACAGGTACTTCAGCCATTGCACAGGAGAGGGACATGTCACATTGCATAATTAAGATAGATTTAGTTTTTGTAAAAAAATACATCACAGCACAAGTAAAGTATATTTATTACAGGTTTTTGATAGAGCTCTGCCAGGACTGGAGATCATCTCCTGATATAAATGTTTTTTCCATGCTGCAATTTTATACACAGTTATATATTTATACATGTGATATGATTTCTGCCTATCTTATACATAAAATACATTTATATAAAAATTAATTGTTGCCCTCTGTTAATGGTTCTTATTCTAGGGCCCTTTATTTTCTGGGGCTTCCCAGGGCAGCTGTGTCATGCTGCTACATTGCTGTGCTAGGCTGTTGCGTGATTCTGATGAGGAAATGTGTACTACAGGAAGTAGTCTATGAAGTAGGCTATGAAGTCTTTTTTTCTCCCTGCCAAATAGCTGTAGGTTTAAGAGAAAATGGAAGGAGAAGCCTCTTGCCTTATTATTGTCTTTGGCAGTGTTGTGAACAACAGCAGCACTGAGACCTGGAAAAGGAATTTGTTTTGTTTTCTGTTCTATTGTTTCTGTGCTAGTGCAAAGTCAAATTTCACTCAAGCCCTGCCTTTCCTACAGTGTATCAAACGCTGAGTTTATTTCTTCATCCAGAAGCTGCGTGAGATGCTTGCTCACCTCCAGCACTGAAACCAGAGGTTCACTCTAATGGTGGAACAGCAGACATGGCACTGTTTTTAGAAGATTTTAATGCATAACCTTGAAGTTTATTTTATTCAGCCACAGAAGTGATGATCAATTCTACAGAAAATGTGGAAACTGTAGGGTTAGGAAGCCATTTGCCACTGCGATTTAGCTACAAGTGGTATTACTGGCAAAGAAAAGCAGAAGTGGAAAATGAAAGTAAAAAATGAAGAGATCTGGTTTACTTGGGGCAGGAAACTCGAGCTCAGAACTTTAAAGCAGAAGTTACTTAAAAATTAAATAGGAAGTGGAAATGTCAGGCTCGTCTCAGACATCAAAAGTATATCCCTTTTCAGGCAAAGGGTCTCATCAAGCAAATCTCACTGCAGTGAGAAATGTTACAAAACTACAGGCAAATTAAACTGCTTCAATTTCCGGACTTGGCTGGAAGCATTATGGGTGAGACCCTTTGAATTTTCAGAGCAGTTCTCAATACTATAATTATAGTATTTGGGCATCACTAATGAACTGAATTTTGATATTAACAATCAATTAATATTTCACAAAAATGGTTCTATATGATGAATTTTTAGGGGAAAAAGATACAGTCTTCAAGCAACTATAAGGTTCTTCCATTGTGAAAAAATTAATATATTCCTTAGGCAGATCATTTGAGCTGCATATGTCACAGTTCACACTTTTAATATTTTTCTGAATTAAAAAAAAGTTTCAATTTATAATTTTCCTTGTGGCTGGTTTCCATACAGTGGGGTGGCATGCCATGCTGGCCCTTATGGCATCAGGCAGGCACTAGTGCACATCTGCAGGGGAGAAGATGGTAATTTATTTTGGCTGATGCTTATACACATTTTGTTAGACTCCACATGAAGTACTGCCACTTAGAACTAAATTCAAAGCTTGTCTGATGATGTTGGTGATGACCTCAGACTATGCTGACATGGCACCTCTATGTATCCCACCTCATGGATAATTCATTAAAATAAAGTAGGTTAAGCCATGGACTGGCAAACAGGCTCCTACTTCATCACACAAACCAGTAAGAAACTTCTCTGTGTCGTAGTTGCTGACTTTCTTTCCAAGTCAGCTCCAGACTCATTTAATTAGAAAAGAGAAGCTGATGTGCTGACTGGTGATGGGGGCAAGAGAGGTGTTACCAAAGTGAGAAAGGGCAGAGAAAGGTTGTGGGTTGTTTTGTTGTTTTTTTTTTTTTTTTTTTTTTTTTGTTTTTTTTTTTTTTTTTTTTTGTTTTTTTTTTTTTTTTTTTTTGTTTTTTTTTTTTTTTTTTTTTGTTTTTTTTTTTTTTTTTTTTTGTTTTTTTGTTTTGTTTTGTTTTTTTTTAAGTCTTCTGTTTCTTCTCAGCATTTTGTCTATCTGTCTTGGCCTCCAGAATTTCCTGAGCCTCTTCTGGTTATCCCAACTGACAGAAAGGGAAAAATGGGCTCAGTTCTGGCATTCTTACTCCTTCAAAGCAAAGCAGTAGAACAAGAGCTCTTGAAGAGTGTTACAAGGGATAAGAGACCCTGCTGAGCTCTCCCTGCTGACCCACAGCTTGAACAGCAGAAACACTCTAAATCAGGCATTTTGAGTTTAGATGCAGGCTGCACAGCTGCTGTTTTATCTCTGCAGTGGGAAGGCCAGGGCCAATGTCTGAATTCACCCCAGGTAATTCAGATTATTTGGAAAAAATCTGTTTGCTGTAACTCAGATTGAGCCTTATCTAGCATGAGTTTACCACCTTCTCAATCCACCTACTATTGAGCAGTAAAGGTAGTGCTGTGGCATCCTTTTATTGTGGTTTAAGTGTGCACAGACTCTCCTGCAGGTAGGAGGGCAGCAGGCAGAGTTTCCACTGAAACGTGTTGAATGTGAAGGTCTCCCATGCATTGTCTCTGTGCCTGTACTTCCCAAGGCACACACTTGTTAAATATCTTTGGTTTTTTTTATAATTATGAACCAAATTCTTTCCAAATGAGCCACTGTGTGCCAAGTAGCTGCAGTTCAGGCTGCAGCTTCAAAGCAGCGACATTGATTCACTGATAAAACCTTTAAGATCAGTGTGTCAGACAGGGCAGCTGCCTCGGGTGCTTTTATGGGTCTGTGTGCCTTTTGTTTCGTTGCTCTAGGAAGGTCTAAGTGAGGAAAAGCAGGGTGCACACCTGCATGGCTTCCTGCAGCATGGTGGGGACTGTTCCTCGTGAAAATGGAGCACCTTCTGATGCAGTAGGATCTGTCATGGTGAGAAAGAGAGATGGGCTTCTGTTAGCATCAACAGCAAAAGGTCTTTGTACACAAATTCGTAAGTATACAGTGAAAACCATCACACATATATGAAAATTCTGGCTTTTTCTCTATGAATTCAAAACCCCTGTTTGCTTACATTAGAAAAAAAAATTATGAACTTTGTACTGAAGTTGTAATTATGTCTGCAAGCTGAGATTCTTGCTGCAGCTATTTTCTGACACTGACAGTTTCACTCTGATGACATCACTGCAACTGACCTCAACAGCCTGAATTTCACCCATCAGCCTGAAAAATATGGGAACAAAAAGGTATGCAAAGATGAATAAATATTAAAATATTGCCAGAGGCAGCTTGCTGCCACACCGTCTGGGTAAGCTTACTGACTGCTGGCCAAGTCTGCAACACAGCCCCAGCTTCAGCTGGCATAGCACTCTGATGACCCTATATTGAACACATACTTTAAACCAGCTCATATTTTTTCCTAAATTTGTCCTGTGTCCTAATGGAAATTATTATTTTTTTTTTGCAACTATAGGGGGTTTCACATTCCGAGACACCCAGTGTGAGTTGTATATTTAATTAATTTTCCTAAAGATCTCTTCAACATCCAAGAGAAAATTTAAGAATGAAAAAAGTGTCCTTTAAAAAAAAAAAATCAAACTACCCATGTGAAAATTCAGGTAAAGCAAATATTAATTTTAAAAAAGTGCAAAAGAAAAAGCAGCAGAAAAAAAGGCCATAGTTTCTGTGTCTGTAACTTCCAGTTTAATTTATAATTTCACTGTCAATAAGGTTGTGGTTATTTCCTATTCTCAGTTTATGGCGTGATCACCTCAGCTGGCAAATCCCCACCCAGCAGATCACATACTCCCCCACAGTGGCATGGGGGAGAGAATCAGAAGAGCAACAGTGAGAGAATGCGTGCGTCAAGCTATAAAAGCAGTTGTGAGGGGAAAGGGTAGGAGGACACAAACTGACCAAAAAGAAGTCACTTCTCACCTCCCACAAGCAGCCCAGTGCCTAGTCAGCCTCCAAAGAGGGAGTACTGAGGAAGGGCCAAACCCCAGTTCTGTGGCTGAGCTGGCACTGTGCGACACCCAGCACCCCTTTGGTCAGCCCGTGGTGCTGTCCTGGCTGTGCCCACTCCCAGCCTCCTGCCAGCCCCGTGAGGCACAGAGCTGAGGAGCAGAGAAAGCCCTGACACCCTGCAAGCCCTGTTCAGCAGCACCTCCAAC